TGGGTTTAAGCACCATCTCAGTTGCCCAAAGGACCCAGAAGTAAAAGGTTAACCTTTTGGGGCCATGACAAAATATGGACCAAAATAGGAAATCCAAAAGGTCAAAAGGTCCGCTTTGAACAACTTGGTCATCCAACAGCAGAAAGCGATGTGGTCTCAGCCCAGCCCAGAAAGGCTCCGGGGTGGTCCAGGGCGGCTGTGAGGTAAAGTTCCGCAGGCTTGTGCGAGGGTTCCGCGAGCTCGCATCCAATCCGGACCGAACCGTTGCGAGGGGTGTACCTGTGTACCTTCCGCATCTGCAGAACACAGGCGTGGTGCTGCTGGGGATATCTAACCCAAACCCCCTCAAGTGCTAACCTCCGTGCACCCAAAACCTTCCCCTGGAAAGCTCCTGAAAACTTGGCTGACGTTGGGTTTGGGAGCAACAAAACATTTGTTTTAGCAGTTTAGTGGGGACTTCAACCACAAAAGCACAATAAGCAAAAATGTAAAATGTTTCCCAACAACAACCATGAAAGCAGCATAGGAATGAAGCGCAATTCGGGTCCCGAAATGGTAGACATAAACATTTCACTCGAATGCCTTTCAGGCGGAAAATCATGGCTAAAAATGGTTGTCTTTTTTGGGCATCAGACTCAGACCCATTCCCCCCCAAGAAAAACAAAACAACAAGAAACAAACAAAACTGCAAACACACAACAAACAAACAAACAAAACTGCAAAAAACAAAACACAAAACGGGTGTTCCTCTAGGTGTCCCTTTCAAGCCAACCCTAAAACCCGTAAACTCCAAATCGACGCGACCTGGGCTTCTGGGCCCACAATGCTGCTGGCACAGCTCACGCAGCCGCTTCCCCACGTCTGTGAAGTGCGGCCGCTTCCGCTCCTCGCGAGTTGTTTTTTTTTTTTGTTGTTGTTTTTGTTGGATTTGTTTGGTGTTTTTGTTTTTGTTTCCTGGCGTGTTGATCCTTCCATTTGGTTGAGACCCCTGAGAAAAAGATTTAAAAAGAAAAACAAAACAAAACATATGTTCAGTAGCGATAAACTCCTTTTCACACCAACAAGGGACACAATATGTATTTAAAAACATTTAAAAACAATCAAATCAGTAGCGATAGATTCCTTTTAAAGCCAACAAGGGAAAATAAAAGTACAGTCTTAAGCAAACGGAAGGATCTCACCTGCTCAAAGGACGAGGACATGAAATGTGATCACTTTTTGGGACCTGTACAAAAAATGGGCCAAAATGGAAAACCAAAAGGTTAAAAGGTCGGCGTTGGGCAAGTGAGTGATCCATCCCACCTTATTGACAACATACATCACCATTCACCAAATAATGGTATCTCACATATTTTAGCTTCACCAACATCAACAATTGCTGCACCATTACCAGGAGAAAATTTTAATACGCCATTACCAAGAGAAGGGGGGTGGAATCCCCCAAGTCCATTATTAAGGGGGTGAGGATGTTGATCACTTGCTAAAAGTTGTACATGTTTGGGGAATAGCTCAAAAATCCTTTTCAAGTCTAAGTCGAAAAGCCAACAGATATGGCTGGAACTGTCAAATTGAGTCAGCTATTCACAAACCGGAAAGGAACCCTCAAGTACACTGTCATGAGCTTACCCTCTGGTACAATGTTCTCGGGGTTTTGCGGGTAGAGCCCACATTTTCGATATCCTTCTCACTTTTTAAAGCTTAACTTTGGATTAAGAGCCCCCTCACGTAGCGGCAGATAAACCCCTCGCAAAGGCTGCTGAAAGTTTGTGGGTGTTTGATGTGCCCTGTGTGAATGCGGCTGGACAGGCCCGTTTTCACAGGGAGGGCTTCCTAAAACAAGGGACCGCCTCTCCCCCTTGTTGGGTTTGGAGAGAAGCCTCCGATACCCCTTTGTGCTACCAAAAGGTCTTCTCTTGATGGGTGCCCCCAACTGTGTACACGAGCCACAGTCAAAATCACTTTAAGCAATGGATCCATGTTCTCTTGAGTCGCCACGTGTTGGTATGTTGCATGGGTATTGCGCAAGAGCTTCCGTTTGAGTCAGCAGTCGTTTTCCATGCAAACTGTAAGGCCACTATAAACATGATGTGTTCAGGTCAATCATCTTTAGGACTTTGAGCTCGTCTCACATGTTCAAAAAGCAGTCGTTGGGGGGGGCGCTTGTCTGCATGTCGCTTTTTGAATGATCCGCCGACTTGCCGACTTGCGCGGCCTTGGGCAGCCTCCTGTCGGAAGCGCTTCCGTGTCAGGTTGCCAAAAAACGGGGTCGTTGCTTTGTCCCGGCCTAGTTTGCGAGGGGTCCACAAACGAGGCCAGTTTCCCAGTGTTTTCAGGCAAGCCACTATAGTATAAGGGTTCCTTACCTCTAGGTTTTACATGGCTGTAGATCAAACATGTGCCCAAAATGGAACCCTGTAAATGGAAACATGGAGTAAAACCTGCGGTCCCCTGGTGGTGAAATTCTGAGCCAGACCCAAATGATGCTTTCCCTTGCTGGGTTTGACAACCTCGCTCGTGCTGGTTGGCGGCGCTAGGATGAAGCAGGCCGCCGATCTGCGCAAACAAAGCGAATCACGATCGTTTTGTGTCAGATCTTATAATCTGGACTCACCTTCCTTTTGAGAAAGCTCCCTTCCACAAATATTTCCCGTAGCATGAGCAGTCCCTTTAAAACCAACAGGGGTACATAACAACATAGTCTGAAGCAAATGGAAGGCACCCGAAAACATGTAACCGGTTGAAGGCTTGTGAGGGCTGATCGGAAGGCTCCTTTTCTGGTGCGATGGGTAGGGTTTTTGACCCGTTTTGGGGATTCCCTATGAGGAAACCATAGGTTGGATGATCTTTCTCGCCCAAAGGGTCCAAGTACCTCATATTTGCGGAAATCTGAGGAATCTGTGATTGACGAATCCCCGTTTTCACCAAACCCAAAGCCGTAACTATGGGGTACCCAGGGACCCTCTGGGTCGGGCTCATCCAGTTCTCATTCCCTCGAACCTTTGGCCCCCGTTAGGTTGGCTGGGGAAACCCAAAGGGAAGCCGCCGACGGCTTGCGGGGTCCCTGGGCTCCTGCCCAATTTTCGCCCACAGAAAAAACCGCCACCGATACCCAACCAGCAAAACTCATACAAGTACTCTTGTGGGTGTGTGCGTGTGGTTTTTCTTTGGAGGGTGCCCGTTGTATTTTTTTGTTTATAGCAAACCCACAAGGACAAACACTATTTTGTGGGGTTCCCTAAGAAAGAACGCCACACCCATACGCCAACTCATACTCGCGACATCCAGCCCGCCCAACGGCCCTGCCCTCAAGCCTTGCACTGGTGAAACCGGCCTTCTGGACGCACGGAAAATCCGTTCCGCCAGGCTGTCCAGATTGGTCTTTTGAACACAGACCTTGCCGATTCTCAAGGGGAGGGGTTCTCTGGGAGTCTCCATTTGCTTGAGTGCCCTGGAAAAAAGCACATATGTCCAGCAGTGATAGATTCCCATTAAAACCAACAGGGGAAAATAAAAGCATGGTCTCGACCAAATGGAGGGGAAACCTAAGGGTGGGTAAGGAATCCTGAAGATTCCCTGGAAGAGAAGCCGCCAGCGACATGGCCGGCTCCAATTTCCCCATGGGCTCTCGGTCAAATGGGGTACTTGGCAAGCGCCGGAGCATGCGTCTCAAGAGTTGCCCGCGCTCACGAAAAGAGTTCGGACGAACATAATCGTGCTGGTGCGATAGGTGGGGAATGAACGCAGGATTTCCCTTAAAAGAAGCCAGAGGGGATGGTTTGAATAGGTCATTTTTTTACAATATGTCCAAAAGCTGAAAACAGGAATCCCCAAGTAAAGGGTCTTTATGATGGCTCGTTTTGCCCCGAGGTGAGCTCGCCGCAACATAATTCAACCAGGCAGGACATGGTCCAGCCCCCTTTTTACAGAGCCGAGTTTGGGGACGCAATTTGGACAAATTCAGATACGGGGAGCATCTCATCTACTGAAATGGGTGCGGGTCAAACATGGGTACTTAAAAGGCCCAAAATGGAATCCTGGGTAATGGAACCAAGGACTCAAACCTGCGGTCCATATCTTGGTGACTAATTTTGACCCATAGCCAAATCTACAAAGCGATATAGACCAACACTTCGACTCCCCGAGAAAGGAGTCTTCGTAAGCAGCCAGATTGATCAACCCCTTTTCGAGCTCACCGCAGTTCGTCCAAACTAACTGCGGTGACCTCCAGATGCGACAAGCTGTGTCTGTTTTGTCATTTTCCGTAAATGTTAGGGGGTTCAGTTCCCACCATTAAAACAATGGTTGGGTTCACACAACCACCATTGTTTCCCTCAAGGATTGTCGACATCCAAATTGGGACAACCTTTCTTTTACTGGGCTCCAGCCAGCCTCCGAGAACCAAATAACTGTGCCTGGGTGCCCTCCCATGAATGCCCAACATACTAGGTCCTCTACTAGAGAGGTTAGAATAACGGCACCCTTTTTTGTGTAGTCTATTTGAGTAGGGGAACTCTTCGTCAATAAAGGGTAAAAGGGCACTACTGGGGGACCTAGCATATGATGCTCAACCTAAATCATTGGGAAAATCTCCCGTGACCCTAAAGTCCATCCTTCTTGGTCGTTTTAAAAGGGGGGTTCCTCAAAGGAGTCGCGGAAAAGTGGGCCTAAAAGCCATGCCGAACTGCCGAACTGCCGAAGAGCAGAGCAAACCTCGTACCTGCTCTCTTGAGCAATGTAAATTCCGCCTAGCGAACTACAAGTGAAACGCCATCCATTGCAACTAGCCCATCTGAATGCATGGTGACAAGCGACAAAAAGTAGCTACCTAAGTAACTAACCATGCATGAAACGACCCGGCAGGTTGCCCGAAAATGTTGGTTTCCATGCTGCTTCTTGGAAACATCAACGCCAAAGCTGTGATCTTCGGTTCATCAAGCTGAATGGATAGCTGCCAACCCAGCTCAGCTGAGGCCGACGGGTGCGTGCGAACTCTCCTGGGATCAGATTAAAGTATGGACGCCGCCGGAATCGACGCCCGGCTCGTTGCCGAGTTCCGGGTCGCGGGAAGGCGAGCCTTCCACGTCGGTCAACTCGGGCTGAGTCAAGGAGGAGACCTCGCTCAACGAGGGCTCTTTGCCCAACTCGGCCTCCGCAGAGACGGTGGCCGGGGGCACAGCCGGCTGGGCCTCGTCCGTGGCCAAGACAGCCATGGTGCCCACGCCTGGAATCTCCGCCTCGCATTCGGGCACGCAGGCCTGCTTCTGGATGGCGCACAGGAACTCACCTGAAAGCTGGCCCTGGGTTTGTGGCAAGGACCCGAAACGGCATCGGTTTGCCTTTTGGCTTCCCTTTAAACCGCTCCAAAAGGGCTATCCTGAAAACCGGAACCCCGCCAAGAGGAAACTCGTCCAACATTGGCTCTAATGGTGATGTTAAAACTGCCCAAGAGGGAATAAAGGGACCACTGGATTGCTTTGGGGAAATGAACCGTTTTTCCTGAAAGCATTGCGAAGGACCCTTCAGGAAAAACCTTTAGCCATCTCCCACGAGCGAACTTGCGCGAGCCATCTCCCATGTCCGCACTTGCAACAATTGCAAGAGGCATCTCCCACGAGTGCGCTTGCACGAGCCATCCCCCCACGAGTGCACTTGCGCCAGCAAGCTTGCGCAGACACGTTTGAATGAGCAAACTCGCACTAGCGAACTTGCATCAGCCATCTCCCACGAGCGCACTTGCGCCAGCAAGCTTGTGCAGACGTGTTTGCATGAGCAAACTCGCACGACACGCACCTGCACGAGCAAACTTGTCCGAGCACTCTTGCGAACTTGGCCGAGCAAACTTGCACGATAAAAGTTGCACAAGCATACTTGCACGAGGACACTTGCGCAACGATGCTTGCATGAGCACCCTTGCACGACGATGCTTGCACGAGCACACTTGCGCAACGATGCTTGCATGAGCACCCTTGCACGACGATGCTTGCACGAGCACACTTGCCAACGATGCTTGCACGAGCACCCTTGCACGACGATGCTTGCACGAGCACACTTGCGTGAGAAAACTCAGACTACAGATCACCAAAATCTTGTAGGGCGGCGCTGTGGGACTGAACCCGAAAACGCGCGCTTTGCGGGGTCGGCGTAATCAATGTGCAAAAGCTAGAGATGTTTGCTATTTTTTGAGGATGACTTTTGTTTTCTTTGGGAAAAACACCGCCGACTCTTCTTGGCATGAGTGAAGGTGGAAGAAGCTCCTCCGAATGGCACGCCGTACAAGGGCTAACGTTGCAGTACGTCTACTTTGTCATGTTTAAGGAAATTATCTGGGTGTGAGAAACAATGGCAACCTAAACCCAAGTTTTGCAAAAGGTACAGCAGCTAGGTAGCACTTGGCCCACAAAAAGGTTTTTCACATATAGTCTACCCCAAACCATGAAAAAGACTTGCAGGAGACCCCAACCAACCAACCAACCAACCAACCAACCAACCAACCAACCAACCAACCAGCCAAGCAAGCAAGCAAGCAAGCAAGCAAGCAAGCAAGCAAGCAAGCAAGCAAGCAAGCAAGCAACCAAACTAGCAAAACCAAACCACCAAGCAACACAACCAACAACCAAACCACCAACCAACCAATCAACCAAGCAGGAAAGCAAGCAACCAACCAGCCAGCCAACCAACCAACCCAAGCCAACAAATCCAAATCAGCCAACCCACCCATCCACTCACAGACCCAACGAAACCAAACCAACCCAACCCAACCCAACCAAACCAAACCAAACCAAACCAAACCACCAACCGACCAACCAGCCAGCCAGCCAGCCAGCCAAGCAAGCAAGCAAGCAAGCAAGCAAGCAAGCAAGCAAGCAAGCAAGCAAGCAAGCAAGCAAGCAAGCAAGCAAGCAAGCAAGCAAGCAAGCAAGCACAACACGCCACGCCACGCCACTCCACGCCACGCCACGCCATGCACGCCACGCCACGCCAAACCAACCAAACCAAATCAAATTAACCAAACAAATCATACCAACCCAAACCAACCCAAACCAACCCAAACCAACCCAAACCAATCCAAACCAATCCAAACCAAGCAAAACCAACCAACCAACACCTCCCTTTTTCCAAGGCGTTTCTTTTTCACATCGGCAATTGAAGTGAGAACGAACCACTGAGCTCTGCGCCCAGCCCCGCAGGCACTGGCTGGCCTGGACAGCCGCATGGACGCCAATTGGTGGTGTGGTGGTGTGGTGGTGTGGTGGTGTGGTGGTGTGGTGGTGTGGTGGTGTGGTGGTGTGGTGGTGTGGTGGTGTGGTGGTTGACAGTTTCCCATTTGGCCATGGGTCAAAATCCAAATCGTGCCCCCAGTGAACATCCCAATCCCCACTAAAATAGGTTCTAAAATGGGTGGTGAATTCACCTACCAACCAAAATGGTATCCCAAAACGGTTTTGACAACCACAGCCATTTATCTACGAGCCACAAAGATCTAGGTGATTTTTGTTGTACCTTGGGCGACAGGATCCGAAAGACAGGTTCAGATCCAAATCCAAAGCACCAACTAGGGGATGACCTGAAAGATGGCACCAATTGAAACCGCAAAAAATACGGGTACCATCAAAAAAAGACACCCATATGATACGGCCCATATGGGCGAATCGGCTCCAGGATGCTGCACATGATTGCCCAAGCATCATGGTAGAAGTTGATAACAATTGAAGATCCCCTTAGCATCATGGTTCTTGGAAATAACCAGCCCTTTCCGAGACACCCGGGCATCTGGAACCAATCTGATCATCTAGGAGGCCCAAGCGCGGGAATCATCTTGACAGAAGCGGCTCCACCAGGACTTGGGTGCGCTTGTGCCATTTGCTGGAGAGAACCCAAACGCACCTTCTCCCTGTCAGGCAAAACCTGGCAAGCAGCGTGGGTTTGTCCTGCCTTTGGGTACCCAATCGAAACGTCGGCTTTGGGCCCAGGAATTCAAAGCCTTGCAACAAACCGAGCCCTACTAGGTCCTCCAGTGGGAGGTTAGAATAAGGGTACCCTTTTTTCTGTAGTCTATTTTTAGTAGGGGAACCCTCCCAAAAAAAAGAGTAGAAGGGCACTACTGGGGGACCTAGCCTACTACTTGAGCCTATTCAGCCCACTGTTGCAAGCTGGCACGAGCCCTCAAAGATGAATCCATCTCGAAAGGGGAAGCTGTGACCGACGTGCTTTGACTCAAACTCCCGTTGGTTTTTCGGACACGGGCACATGAACGGACAGCTGGTTCGCGGGAGGTTGCTCTCGCTGTGATGCGTGCCGATTGGCTGTCGCATGCTGTGGCCAATTGAAACTCTTGGTACGAGTATCTAGGTCCTCCAGTAGAGAGGTTGGAATAAGGGTACCCTTTTTGCTGTAGTCTATTTTTGTAGGGGAACCCTCCCCAAAAAAAATGGTGAAAGGGCACTACTGGGGGACCTAGGTATGGTCTCTATGCAGTCTCTCTTGGCACCATCTCCGATGCAACTTCTCCAACCTCCTAGTCCGCTAGTCTCTCTGTGCAAAGATAAGATCACGCAATCGTCTAAGGACTGGGCCATGTTTATAATAGTTCAGACAGAAATTGAGGTTCCCTAAGAAGTGTCAAAATGGGGGGGGCAAACAAATGATGGTTGTCCTTCTTGCTTCCCTTTTTAGAAGCAGCCGAAACGGGAACCCTCAAAGAAACAACCGCCCACATGGTTGCTTGGCAATCCACCCAAACCCCTAGGGTTCAACCCCCATTAAGACAACCAAAGGACCCAATTTGGATGATGACAATCCTTAAACAATGGTGGTTCCATTTACCCAGCCATGGTTTTAATCGTGATTTGAATCGCAGGGAAACCGTTGAGTTACATTCAAGCGACGGCTCGCCTTCCACAGTCAGCTCGCCGCTGCCGCTGGTGGAGGTGCCTGGGCGCGCAATGTCGCGGCGTCACAGCCGCAAGTCCAAAAAGGCGAAACGGACGCATGAGGGGACTCTCAATGCGCAGAAAACCCACACCCATGGTTTTTGGCTCTACAAACATGGTTATGAAGATGTTACATTGTACAGACCATACTTTAATCCATACTCAACCAGATATAGTAGAACCACCTAACATGGCCAGCAGGGGTTAAGGGTTGTGTTGGGCTGGCTGAGGGCTTGCCACGTTTTATCCACTTTAGCCTTGTGCATGGAGACTCAATGCCCCAAAGGAGATTCAGCTGGGCTGTGGGTGTATCAGCAATACACCCCCTTGGGTATTGAAAATGAACGAATTAAACGGACTTCAACAATACAGCACCCCCTTTGACTTAAGCCTCCCGCAAAAAGGAGGCACATGCCAACATCACCCAAGGGAAAATGAGCGTGCTGAACTTTCCGCTTGTTGTTTTCTAACATTTGGCACACCACCCATGTCATCATCAACTGAGTTTGACCCAACCTGCGGACGCTTCTCAAATAGGAAACTCCCCCCCTTGCATATACTCACTTCCGATCGAGTGGATTAGCCAAAAAAAGTCCGAACTTTTTATTTGCCACTAAAATGGTCTTCTCAAACAGTTTTAAGTCCAGGAACTCAGGAAGTGAGTATGCTTCGGAAAGGTAAACTCACCATGTACACATTGGACTGTACAAGGCTCAGAAAGCCACCTTTTCGAACGCAAACTTTTCCATGGGCCAAAACCGGGAAACCAAAAGGCAAAACGGTTGGCGTTGGGCAAGTGAGCTGAAGGACATATGTAGTCAACATTACAATATGAGAAGATGTCGAAAACTGTGGCGGTGACCACAAGTGGCGGTCTCTTGCTCGCCTCTGATGCTAACCCTGGATTGATCAAATTCTTGCAATCTCGAAAACAATTCCCTGCCCTCAATTCCCTTGCCAATGTTAACCCTCTCTTGGGGTCAAACTGGGTTTATATTCCCAAACGGAACTTCCAAGAAGAAACCTCCGGGGCACCTCCTATGGACCCAGAAGTTTAGTCTCATGAGCCATAGAACCTGAGGTGAAAGCAACCTTTCCACCCACTGACATGAAACCTAACAGCTTCCATTTGCTTAAGTTTTCTGGACAAAATACAAATATTTCCAGTACAGATAGATTCCCTTGCAAAACCAACAGGGAAACATATACAAAATAGTCTTAAGCAAAGGAAGTGACAGTGAAAGACAAGTTCCCCCGTCACTCGTGTTCAGGCACGTGGAGGGTGGGCTGTCCTTGCCAAAGATCGAAGTTGCAAGGGAAAGGAAAACAATTCATGGGTCCGCCAAAAGGAGAAAAATCTCTAAACAAACCTAATAAACACCAATGTTGTGTTTTCCTTTTTTATGTTTGAGATTGTAAACCTTGAACAACCTATGGCTTTGTTACAAAGAAAGCGATCAGGTTGTTTGAGTAGATCCACCAAGTTGGGTCCACCAAGTTGGGTCCTGTGTGGGTTGAAGGGGGACAACACTAAGGCACCCTTCAAGTCCCCTCCATCTTGGTAGGGAGTACCTGGACCCTCACACAATATTCGTGTGTGTTGGGATCATGTTTGTCCAATCCCAAGTCTGATTTTGATATCCATTGGGACCCTTTGTGCACCAAAAACAGGTGTTTGGGGGTTTAAGGCTCGCTTGCTCCAGCTGAAAGCTTGGCGTCTATGTGCAGAGGAATTCCTGGCATTTTTCAGGTTCCGCAGCGCAAAGGGGGTTGTTGGGAATGTCACCTGGGCTGATTTGGTGTCAACCCTGAAGAAAGGGCACCCAAGAAACGGCGCACGCACCCATGTGTGTCGAACATGAGGGGCGTGGATTCGGATCGTGATTTATACATATTTATACAGTATCTTTAGATTTATTGGACTTGTGGATGGACCATGGACAAAATCCACCTCGCAGAATGGCTGAAACTTTTTTTGAGTACTCGTTCATGAACCTATAATCCCAACTTGTGCCGATCGGAGTGGATGTTATCCACAGCACTTCATGGGGCCCGGGAGGGAGAGGGAGTGGAGGGAGCCCAAATGAGGTCTAAATAAGGCCGTTATTAAGACTTACTTGGGCCCCCAGACCCGATGAGTATCTAGGTCCTCCAGTAGAGAGGTTAGAATACGGGTACCAACTTCTTTTTGTAGTCTATTTTAGCAGGGAATCCCTCCCAACCAAAAAAGGGGAGAGAAAGGGCCCCTAGCTGGGGGACCTAGTATACGAACAAATAGTTCGTAGATGGTGCGAAACAGGGGATCTGCCCAAAAAAAACAAGTAACAAAAAGGATGCCATCGGGACCCCTGGTGCTTCCCTTGCAATGGGAAATTCACACGGGGCATTTTAGTGTGCCTCTTTTAAAACATGGCCAAGGGTGAAATAAGCATGTGAGCCACAAGCATGTGAGCCTCGGTCAAAAAAAACTTAGTTCCCAAGAGTACCCCTCATTATTTGTGTGCGAAATCTAGTGAGGCCTCCAGTGTCCCTCCTGAACAGAACCTCAGTTGTTCAGTGACCCTGGAAAAAAAAGAATTGGAACCCTTTTTGGGAAGACCGTTTTAGTGGGGCAGCCAGAAAAAAAAGGAAAACCAATTGGAGCCACTGAACAGCTGAGGAACTGATGTCAAGGGTGTGCATGTTTTAAAACAAATTGGGCCTTGGGCTCCGTGCGCTGACTCGGCTGTGGCAGTCTGCGCAAGGCCTTCCGAGCATCGGCCGCGTCGAGCGGTAAGGCGAGCCCTCTCCGCAGGACATTTTCACCAAAAGCAACATGTTTAAGCCACCCCTAGGCAAAAAAACGAGTTATGCTGTCCTACAAATTCACATCGAACCCCGAGAAAAACAGAACAACTGTCCTTTTTGGATGAACCTTCTTTCTTGGGGATCCCGTTTTGGGGGTCTTATCTTTAAACAAGCAAGGGAAACGTTCCAGGCAGCCAGAAATGTCACTTTGTTTGTTTCTTTGCTTAGCAAAGATGGGCCAGCCCCCTGTGCGTGGCTTCCGCCTGGTTTCCCTGCCCACTTAGTCATTCAACTTCTTGGGCCGACCCTAGAAGCGCAGGAACCATGTTAGGGTCAACGGGTAAACCCTGGAAATTTGAAGTGGAACCTCACAAACAACCCAAGGCAGATTGCTCTCAAAACAACCTTCCAGGAGTACCTGAGCGCGAATTTCTGAGACTCAACTGGCTTCCTTATTTTACCATGATCAAAGTCACCCTCTAAGTGGTGGGTTTTTCGAAACAACCCCCCCCCCACAGCAACTGTGCCCCTCAATGTTTACTTGAGCTGGGGTCCCCCGGGCCACGCCCGCCTCGACGGCGGCTAAAAAGTCCGCCTCCGCCCGCTGGAAGTAGTCCTGGCCGACGGAACTTGCTGCTCCGGTCGCCTGTTTCCGTGTTGGTGTCTTCCTTTGGGTCTGTCCCAGCAGACCCCTTCATGTGTCGCAATACCTTATTCTTTGTACGATTTCCATTATTATATTGAGATTGTATGTCCTTCTTGTGTTTCCGTTGGTGTCTTCCTTTGGGTCTGTCCCAGCAGACCCCCGCGTGTGTGTCGCAAAGTTACTGAAAATTCCCCGAGAGGACATGGCAAAATGAGGCCCGAGAATGATTGAGTCCCCTCCATGCCCCTGATGAGTCATAATCAGAACCCGGCATTAAAACGGGCTACCCAGAACCATGTAAACAATACAGAAGGCGGATATCCGCAGCTATTTATGGCAAGGGGACTCTTCCTCACTACCCTTCATTTACCCGGATTTTGAGCAAGTGGCTCAAATGAACCATAGACTCTTACTTTTTCACCGGACGTCTTGCCCGGTGGCTTCCATCTTCCGGGGAGCATTTTTTGTCTTCCCCTTCAAGGCTCCTTCTGTATGCCCAAAAGGAGCTCAGTCGACCCATCGCCCATCCCAGAAAGAGCCCGGGGTCGTTCATGAGGGAGCTACACTCCGAGAGAGTATCTGGATTGGCCGTTGACCTGCAAACAGTGACTAACATGTGCATGCTTCGTTTGAGAAAGCATAAAATGTGTCCGAAACGTTGACTCTAGTTGCTCCCCTGTGGATTAAAAGACCACCGCTTGTTAGAGAAAGACCCCCTCTTGGGGCTCAAACAAAATGTAGGAGACTAAAGGCCACACCAAAGGCCAACCAAGCTACGGCTTCGCTTCAAGTTGCTTGCTTCCGCCTTTGGCCGTTCGACTCTTCGACCGACTTGAGAACCAAAGCTCTCTCGAAACTTGCGGACTCTTCCGAATGATTGGTTCACGGACACTTTGTTCCCAAATGGCTGCGGGTCAAAAATGGGTACCCAAAATGGAACCCTGGTAAATGGAACCAAGGAGTAAAACCTGTGTTCACCTGGTGGTGTTATTTTGGCCCACACCCAAGTAACACCATGCAAACAGGAGATGTTGCATTTCAGAACAAACCAAATTCTGAACTCCTACACTCTCAAAGTGGGCGTGTCTTTTATTGAGTCTGTTGAGGGTACCCCATGTTTGGTGGTTTTGAAGGGAAACCAGAAGGAAACCACCATTTTATTTTATGGTTTGTTTTATTATTTTATTTTTGTTTTGGGGGGGTCCCCGAAAAACAAACACCCCAAAGTCTAACAAGTCTACAGAACTGTATTGCCACAAACACCGGTCAGGTTGACCTGCCAATTTGTCGCCGGAGGGAGGACAGGGGTATCGTTTGGATTGCTGTAGAATCCAGCATGCCAGTATGCTACCAACATGAGTACACAATAGCGACCCGGCGTTTGGATAGGTGTTTGATTCTTCTGCTTGTCAAGCACAACAACCGCCCGACCAGCTATCCGTCTTGTAGAAGCAAAGGGCAAATCCCGAGCACATCGGCCAAAGGACGGTGATCTGAGTAAGGAAATCCACTCCCCTTACGCAGGGTGGCTCCCTCAAAGGAACCAGTTCATTGCTGTGATACCAAAGTGGACCATCCCTAAGACTACTCTGTCACTTAAAAAAAGGGGGCGTCACTGGGCTGAAAGTAGATGCAACTCCCTGGTTGGATGCAGGATTACAGAAACCTAAAAAAAAGGAAAGAGTTGTGCCTAAGGGAGGGGCCCAAATCATTTTAATGAAGTTGTGGGGTAGCCCGAAATCAAATTGTGCAATGACTAGAGGTGTAAACCGTTCGTAATTAACTAGCCTCTGCCACTATCAGCTTCCCTCGAATCGGTGGTGTGGATTGGTACTTTGGCGGTTCGGGGTGGCTTCCAAATTACTCGCTACAAGAACCGGGGGTTCAAATCAACCAATTCAAACCACCAACTGACCAATTGTTGCACTCGCATCCACTAACATGGAACCCAGCAGGGCTTCTTTTAAAGGAAATGGGTCCAAGCCAGGACCCAAAGATGTCAGGTTTCATGTTTATGGAAGGGAATCTCCACCAAAAGGAGCTGGCCCAACCCCCTCCCGAACTCACCCTCCCCCCCCCAGCCTTTGTCTGTCCAAGACCGTGCCCGAGGGCTCTCTTGCCCTTGCCAGCTCGAAACGGCTCTTGAAAAGCTGGGATGGTTGTCTATTTGTGTAGTTTGTACTTTGTTTAGTCTCGTTTTTTCCACGAAACAAGTGGAACACACTCATAAAAGGTTCCGGGTTCCGTTTCATACTTTGGGATGTGTTTCGTTGAGGGTTTCTCAGGTTAGAAAAAGAAGAAGCAAAAATAGCCCGTTTTCACACGTCCGCCCACAAAGAATAACAAGATTCGGAGGAAACCTTAGTTGAGACCCGGCATGTCCCTTTCAAAAAGTGAAGGATCCCCTCTAAAACCGGCCCCCCCCTTCACTCTGGGTCAAGACCCTCCAGGCCAAGTCTGGCATGCCGGGAATTCCTACTCCGATCCAGGCCAAGTGGCCTCCAAACTCCACCCAAAGAAGCTGGCGCAGAGGCCATAGTCGAATCTGGCTGTGTCTTTGCATCAGGAGCTGGGGCTTAAAATCGTGGTGGTCCTTTTGGTTCCCCCCTGTAAAACCAAAAAACGATGCCGCCCTTCCAAAGAAACATCCAAAAACAAAAGACCATCCTCCTCCAACCACCCCCCAAACGAAAAACATGAACAAAATATCAAAGAAATGAGAACAACAAGAGCTCCTCTCCCCCCCCCCAACAACGAAAAAAAAACACTTGCTGGTGCTAAGTAGGGAAATGAGGGAAATGAGGGAATGAACCCTGTAAACCATCCAACTGGTGGTTGCCTTTAAGGGGACCCCAAGGTTCATTCCCACATTCCTACCTATCGCAGAAGCAAGGAAAGGGAAACACAACATCCAAAAACAGAACAAACAATCCTGCTCAAAAAGGAAAGACACAACCCTCCAAACAAATCGTGCAAAAGAAACGAACAATCCAACCCTCAAAAAATGGTGACACAACAATCCACCCCTCCACTGGACCGCTGGTCTTTTTTTCTCCGTCCGCGCCGCGCCTTGGCTGCCTGGCACATGCCGGCCTGCATCAAGGCCTCCCGCGCCTGGCTTTCAGGCGGGTGGGAGGCGTGAGGATCGAGCGAGCCGCGCCTCTGCCTTGGCTGGTCTAGGTTTTAGGTTTTGGGTCTAGGGTCTAGGGGCCAAAGGTTTCTTCCTGAGTTGAGATGGCCCAAATCAAGTCACCTAGGTCCTCCAGTTGAGAGCTTAGAATAAGGGAACCAACTTTTTTATGCGGTCTATTTTAGTGGGGGAACCCTCCCAACCAAAAAAGGGGAGAGAAGGGCACTACTGGGGGTCCTAGAGTCTAAATTTCTTATCCACTAATTTTAAAATGGCCTTAGTTCTTAAAGTCCAAGAACTTTGGGGGGTGAGACTTCTTATTTTTTTTTGGGGGGGGGGAGTATCTTTTTTTTGGTATTTATTATTATTATTGTTATTATTATTGTTACTATTTATATATATATATATATATAGTTATGTGCTTTTCGCGGAGGGGGGTGTGCCTCCCTATCCGTGGGGGGGGGGGGTGGTGCCTCCCTATCTAATATAATATAATTTTGACATCTTGACCACCCACGGCATGTCGTAAAATCGGCTGCCTTTGGGGAAAGTACCGCCCTATTTTGACATACTTAAGCGTGTGGGTGTGTTGTAAAACTTGTTAAAACTTCTTGGCTCTCAGGGACTCAACAGGTTTGGTTTTGGAATGAACCGCCTGGGAGTGTGTTGAAAGAAACTACCAGTTGGATGGATCACCGGGAGCACTCCCTCATGACTTCCTGGTAGTCAAAATTCTGAGTTGTTGGGTTGTGGATGCCGAAGTCAGTCGTTGAGGAGGACGATGCGTTCCGAGGTGGAAGTCCAACTTGCAGGCATGTAGGGCGTCGGAGGCCCTGAACGTTGCTGCAATCCGAAGTCAGCTGCTGAAGTGGTTCCAGGAAAGATGTAAGAGGCGGTCACCGAATCCACTCGCTGATGATGGCGGGACTGCGTGGTGTCGAGATTCAAAGTCGCAGATCACTTGGCTTGTTTTGAGCCCGACTGGAGAGAAGGCAACGCGGGAACACCAACCAAACCTGAACACCTCAAGCCGCAGCCTAACGTCGGGGGGACACGGGTCTGAATGCTGAATCTGAATCTGAATGAACAGAAAGCGCTGAATGGAGGTTGAGGTGAAACGTAAAGGAGGGTCCAGCACCAACAGGTGCCCTGAACGAGAATGTTTTCCTCAGCGAGGAGCCGGGCATGGTGACCTCTAACTCGGCGCCATCTCGGATGGCCGAGCGAGACACGCTTTGGAATGACGTAGAATTGCAAGACCGAGCTCAATTCGGAGAAGCAACGGCAACAGCAACATCACACAAGGAAAGATTGGGTCAGCAAAGCTGGTCGCTTCAGCAGGTACGTGGTTTGAGCGTCCTCAAACCATATCACTGTGCAACAGATGCGTCTTTGTTGGCTGGAGACATCTGAAGCACACTCCATGATCTAGGCACACATTTGGTGAAACATCACCGAGCAAAAACTCTTGACATCATAGTTGTAGAAAGGCGATTGAAAGAAACATTCAACATCATGGTTGTCAAAAACAACCCTTTCTGTGATACCAAAGTGGTTGACTCCCATGACTTTTGGAGATGGCTTACCCAAAGCTTTGGATGGCTTTCAAGGGAAACGGAAAGGAAAAACAACATCCATGTGAGTCACAATCAAAGCCCGGTTCTAAAATGGTCGACCCAGAACCATGTAAAGAATTAAGAAGGCGGCTATTTATGGTTGGGATTGGCCCTTACTAACCTTCATCTACCCGGGTTTTGATTGTGGCTCATGTGCGGTTCCCCTTAAAAAAATGCCACGCGTGGGGATGTGGACACCTCCGTCTTTTTTTTCCGTGTTTCCGTGGCGTGCTGGCAACGGGGCTCTCTTTTCTTGACCAGGGAAGCCACCAAGCATGGGGAAGGGTGCTCACTTGCCCACAGGACCTGGACGTAGAAGGTTCACCTTTTGGAACATTGACCAAAGAGGCACGGAGCAAAGCAGGGAATCCGAACGGTTCAAAGGTCGGCGTTGGGCAAGTGAGCCTAAGAATGCCGAAATAGGTCACATTTTGCAGAACGCCTACAAGGGTCACTGGATTTCTCCTACAATTTCAATTTGCCGGCGGTTTCCCTTGAAAAGGTCATTTTTGGGGGAAACCCTGTAGGTACTTCACTGGAATGTTCAATGGAACCTTGACAACCTTAGCTCGTTTGACCAAATGACAAAGGAGGACTTGATCAGAGTCAAATGCAAGATGGCGTTCCCCTCCCTTCGCTGCTTCGCTTTCCACATCTTGTCTGTGGAACGCTCAGACACAAGGAACAGGAAGCGCTGGACGATCACTACCAGAGAGCCTGTAGCCAAATAAGTTGGGGACTGCGCAAATCCACGTGAAAATCACATGTTTGGGGTTCCCTCATCTTCAGGCAAACCCCAATCCCACAAAAAGAAACATCATGAGACAAATGGTGTGTGTTTTATGCGTTAATTTTTCCCCAAGAGTCAGAGTGGCCATGTCGTGGCTGTTTGTCCCACTAAACCTCTGGGGGCAGTGGTTTGGGGCTAGTGAAAACCAAATAAGCAAGATGCACCACTGCTCCATGATGGAGAGGATTGGGATCATACTTTCAAACAAAACTATGAACGTTTGTTTGGCTCGGCCAAACCAAGAGGGCCCCTAGGTGTGAAACTTACAACCCGGTTTGGCCCATCAGAAGGTACCAAGCGACCCTGAGGAA